TCTACTATAGCATTACTTGGAGGCTTCCAGACACTGTATAGTGGTGTGGCAGTCATATTATCCTTGCATAAGATGCATCACACTGTGCTTATTGCCTAAATTCCTAGGGAAATTGTGGGGTCACCATCTCTGGAGGCATTTAAAAGGCGTGTAGGTGTGATGCTTATGGACATGGTTTAGTGGTGGCCTTGGCCATGCTAGATTTACAGTTGGACTCAATCATCTTAAAAGTCCTTTCCAACCTAAACAATTGTATGATTCTCTATTTTGCTGGCATTAAAATAGAATTACTTTGGAGTATATGATACAGGAGAAATAATGTCTACAGTGATAAAAACAAATCAAAGCTTATAGGAAGAGATCGTATCCTATAAAAGATCAAATTTTACCACTATAAAAAATGTGCAGGGTTTCAGACACACAAGCACTTCTTTGTGTCAGAACAAAAATTTGGTTTGACTTCTTTTCCTGTGATGTGTCAGCTGGATATCTTACCTTTTCCTCTTCAGTAGCCAGAAGGCTACTGCAAGAATGATGAGAACTCCCAGAATGCAGGCTATCACAACAGAAGCAACAAAACCTAGGAAAAGAGGGAAAGCATACAAAACAGTTCATTTCATTTACTCAAGAGGAGAAGGTTAGTCTCTAATCTGTCATAACATTTGCATTCTGCATCTGCAACTTTCCTAGAGCCTACTCATACCACTTTGCAATTATGGAATGGATAACTTTGCATAGCTGTAGACTGGAAGGTCCTAATCCCACAATTGGATCCACAGTTCACAATGCTGTGAATTTAGACACCCGCTGAAGTCACAAAGCCAACATGCAGGCATAGGCATAGCAGATCAGAAACTCTTCGGATTTCAATGCTATAATGTGTAAGAGAGCATAAGCAAAACTGAAGAACTAAACCCAGGCAACTAAGGATGTTAAATTTGATGCCTTTTTGTTTTTTGAAGGCAGAAGAACACCGCTGAATGTGGACAGCTGAAGAGCGATATGCTTTGTTGTTGAAAACGTTGCTTAAAGGCATCTAAGAAGGTAGGAATGAATTCAGGATATTAGTATGAAGAACTGAGTGCATATTTGCATTGAGATGTTAAGCATTATCATTATAATGCTGTCTTTGATAATGACCTTCATATGTATGTTTGGCAATTAAAGTATTTTTATTTATTTTTGGCCTTGCCAAAGATCCTGAAGGTGAGCACTCTTTTCTTAGCTGCATTTTTATAAATCATTTACCCTTTTTTTTTTAAAAATATTTTATCAAATTACTGTTTCTCTCTAAGCAGCATCAGAACCCTTTCAGAGTAAAGCTGACAGGATTTCTGTATTCCATCTAAATATTTTCTCTTATTAAATCAGCTGTGGAGAAAACAGAAATGTAAAACCTGGAGTTTAACCTTTTCCCATTTAACCCAGTAGATGCTTTATTAATTTTAAGTCCAACTGAATAGAAGAAGCTTGCAATCCGTGGAGTTGAATAAAAACCGTATTTTAAAAAAGGAGAGTTTTGTTATAGTAGAGGTGCATCAAGTGAACAACAAAATATAACACCAAATAGATAATTGTAGAAAAAGAGCTTGTAGTTTGAAGAGGAAGGGTAGGGGGCATTTCTGTTTGATAAGAAGACCTTCTTGCAAAATTTAGTTAGACAGTATTTCAGCATGGTGCTATAATCAAAACTAGACACGAGTTCCCATTTAACTTGTGGGCAGTGGAAGGTTTGAACATTGTAATAAATTGCAGCTGCATGTATGTAAAGCTGATTTTATTGGAATAGATTGCTGACAGGCAAAATACGTTATAAATATGTGTGAGTTTTGCTGAATAATCCTTTAAGATTAGAGACATTTGAAATGTAGTACTTATTAACAGTGAGCATGAATTTAGATTTTAACTATTGGCATTAAGATGTGGCTGACCCAACACTTCAGTCATTTGCATTTTTGATACAAAATACAGCTCAGTGGCCCCATCTTGTGACGTCTGTGCTCAGGTGACGATGGCAGCCTTCAGTCTTGACGCTGAAAAGGCAGAAGAGTTGCTCTGAAAACGTGCTTTAATAGAGGCCTAGGGTGCGCACCACAGGATTTCTTTCACAAATTTCTGTGGTTCCTTTGCCCAAGCCATGATTCTGTGTATGACCTCTCTTCCCTTCTTAATAAGTGTGCTCTCTTCCTACCTGTGGTACAGCTGGCTGCATCAGGCTGGGCACTTGCAGCCAGCAACCAGGCACCCTTTAATTGTGCTTTAACAGGAACCCTTTTTTTTTTCCTTCTTTTTTTTTTTTTTTCCTCCCTTGAGGTGAGGTGTGGGGCTGCACCTGTGAGGGAGCCTTTGTGACCGTAGTAGGTGGAATGTGAGATTAGAGGGGAGATGAATACCTTTTTTGAAACGAGAACATTTTTCTATGGTTCACTGATAGAGTCAATGAGCTTTTATAATTAAATGTACTTAGACTGAATGGGGTTTCTATTAGAGTAGCACTGAGCAATGCCTTTTGTAGCCATAGAGACCAGTTCTTGGGTGAGAACAGCAGAACGGGCAATAACCCATCCAATTCAACTCTGGTAAGTCATGCCAACTTTAAAGATACATTGAAAATACTTTTATAGCTGGTGTCACCTCTGCATGGGAGCCAAATAATGTGGCTTAGGAGAGGGACAGCCAAATGTTATTTTTGTGTTTGGCACTGGTTCATGGCAACAATTTTGAGAAAGTCACAGCTGGGTCAGTTTCCCCCATAGATGGAAATAATAATGCTTACACTATTTCTGTGAAGTGTTTAAAGATTCCTGGATGAAAAGCATAGTATCTGATTTTTCAGTTACTGGAATCATGGATTGTAACTCCCTACCTTTTACTTCTAAGTATTGAGTGTAATTTACAGAGAGAAGGTAGTCAGGTGCTGAAAGGTCAGCCTAAGAAACAGATGGAAAACTGCATTTCTCATTTCTGACTGACAAGTCTGACTCAGAAAATCACTGGCTCATAGATGCAGTTAGCAATCAGCAACATACCCTTGCCAAGTCCACCAGGTATTGAATCCCGATGAATTGAGAGGGTAGGAAAAGTAAAAGTTGGATCTCTAGGATTCCATGGTGAACTGGTCTTAAGCATAAGGTAGCTGCTTACTCCAGAACTTCTGTTACTTCAGTAAGTGTTTCTGCAGTGGCATAGCTATAGTAGGTAGCAATGATAGTGTTTATGCATGAATTTAAGAAAGACCTTGCAGAGGAAGCCTTACATTCTCAGAAAATTGGCAGCTGTATTGTAAATCCTGATTCTGCTGTTTAAAATCATTGTATGTAGTCTGACTTGAGTAAAGGTTTGAAGGAGATTACTAAAATAGCCATTCTGGACCCAACTAATTCTCTAGTTGGCAGCTGGTATTTGAGATTGGAGGTTTGGGAAGAAAGTTTTAACCCTCTTCCTGGTCATATAAGAATGCCATGAGGGAGGGGGATATTCTTAGCTGGCCAATCCACAAAAGCAGAAAAAGGACTGACATACTCTAGTTCTTTCCCTTTTTCACTATTTAGCCATCTTTTAGCTTACTCAGAATATTGTTTGTGCAACTAATAACAGTTTGTGTATTAATCATGGGGCTATTAAGGATTGTTGATGATTTGGTAAACTTGTAATTTTATTACATATTTTAGTTAGAATCTAGCAAAAAGAGGACTACTAGTGTAATTCTCATTTTAAAATGAGATTAAATTGAAGCATTGTTCTATAACCATTATACTCTGCAAGTGGTGGCATAGGGACTTGTTAAGAGGCACGAAGATAGACTAGAATATTATGACTAAGGCTTCATGTAGTATACAGCGAGAAATCAAGGAACAGAACCAGCAAAATCCCAAGCGTGACTTGTGTATGCCATGACTTTTGTCTAATGAAGAGTCGTATTACAGTCAAGAAACAACAAGTAACAAGTCCACTTGTTACCAACATAATGCAAACAAATCCGTTTTCTTAGCTGATAAATTGATAGGGAGGTTGTTCTGTTACTTATTCTTGACTCTGAAGCAGTAAGGTTAAGGTTGTGGCTTACTGCAGAGAACTACACATGAGCAGAGATTGCAGACTCTTCATCATGCATAGCAGAAGGGTATTCATGATCTTTCAGAAAGGGAGAAATCTTATTTTTTGTTAACACATGAGCTGATGCAGACTGAGGCAAAATTTTGGTAGCCAACAGTACTCAGTATTTTGTTTTAGTCAGACCTTGGAACTGAGCTCCAAACTATAAACAAATGAAAATGAGAAAAGAGATGATTTATCAGAGGAACTTAGCTCAGCAGTAATTCAGGAGCAGTAATGGTAGCTTTAAATAGAAGAAAGGTATAACTAAACTAAACTAGTTTAGATTTAAATATTTAGCTATCTGCTGCTAGTAATGGGAGAGAATATAAGATACCTTTGGCAGCAAATAAACAAGGAGGCCAATGGAGAAATGACAATGAAAGCAGAAAAATGCTTCAGCTGCTTAACTGGAAAGAACTAGTGTGGATGCTTACAGTGCTTTGCACTGCAGTCTCAACAGGCTTGGGGACCTTTCTTTGAGGTGTCTGGAATGAATGCGTTCCTAGCTTCCAGAATGAGGATGGGAGATGAAAACTACTCAGCTATTTTGGGAGAAAGTAATTTTCTAGACCTTTATTTACAGACTGGAAGCTGTGTACACACAGGAGGGTCCTTGAAAGCCTGAGCACCTTTCAAGATGCTCAGTAAACAGTACAAAGTCATATAGTGATGACTTTACTCATCGGGTGTAACATCTTCAGCTCCTTAGTCATACGTTAAACAAAAGGATATGTTATGCTGTTTATCTGCACCTCAAAATTGGGAAGTATCCCATCTCAAATCACTGCCCCTGCTTCTGTGTTTCAAGTTAAAATAGTTGTTTTCCTAGTCAGTAGCTTTCTGCTGAGTGTACAGAAATGAGAACCTGAGGTAGTTTGGATCCCTGAACTGCACTGAAAACTGTGTATTGCATTTAGCACTGTAGCCTGCCCTTCTTTATACACCTGGTCCATAAAGCTTCTCCTGAGAATCCACTATGTTAACTGCAGGTAGAATGGTTAATAAAATGAAAGTCATGAGATGCAGCAGTTGAGGGGATGTAGCCTTTTTTGCTGGAGCTCTGGAGATTATGAAGTGTAGAGATTTAATGCAGAGCTGGAGAATGGGAAGTCATGGCTTGTAGTTCAAACCATATAGTCAGTCATCTCAGAACTGTTAAATATTTTTTTACTCCAGTAAAAATACAGCGAAATGAAGATCTAAATCATTAGAACTCAATGAGAGAAATGTGCTTAAGTAGCAAGGACAGTAGCATCAACATACTAATTTAAATAATTACTAAGCTATGTGCAATAATTCCAGAGAAGGCACTCAAAAGAAACTTCATGGTAGAATTACATTCCTCTTACGGGAAGCTTTGGAAAGATTTTAAAATGTTTCCATGAGAACTGAAATGGTCCCCAGCCACAGAACGACTTCTGAAATTGTCTCTGGGTTTTATCGCAAAGATGGAGGTTTGCTTCAAATAAGGGCCAAATGCTGCTGATTCTCCATACTGCTCTGGTTGGGAGTTTTGAGGCAACTAATCTGACAAAGAGACCAGCCAACTTCTGGTAACAAATGTAATTCATCTCTGATTTCAGAGAAATGTTTTGTCTGGGATTTGTTTTGGCTGATCTTTAATTTTTACTTTTCTCCTTTATAGCTTTATGTTAGAAAAGATACATTATGAAAAGGGCTGTCTGCAGAGGGGAATGGCAAGAACAGCTACTGCAGTATGCCTGCAGGGAGAACCATTCCCTGCAATGGCTACTGTGTGAAATTTCCCAATGTAGACAACTCCTGTGTTTTCTGTTCTTTCACCTAAACAGTGAAGAAACTAGCAGGCAAAGTTAAAATGATGTGCTAACATGTTTTATTAATTTGAAAGTTTACTGCTTGGACAATCTTTTTTGTGAAGTCTGCTTTTTCTTTTAAAAATCTTTTAGTCTCAATTTCAAATAGTATAGTGGCTTGCCTCGATTCATCTGCCTTCAGTGTATGTGCCAGCTTCACCACTGCTTAAGAACATTTGTTTGCAAGACAACACAGAAATTGGAACAACACATTTTGCACAAACAATATACTGAATTGCCTTACTGTGGGGCACAGCTAAACTTCTCACCACAGATGCAGGTTTTTGTGCAACCTCCACCCCTGCCCAAACCTATGCATTGTCATTGTGTAACACTGCATAATTAAGCTTTTAAATCAGTTCTTCCTCGTAAGATGGCAATTTTTTTTTACATTTGTAACACTGGATCGTATAATCCAGTGTTATGAATTATTTTTATCTGTCAAGTTTGAATTCCTCAAGGACCTCTTCTGATACTATGTAATTTCCCCCAAACAAGTCTCCCTGAAAGGCAACGTTGTGAGACCCTTTAAATGTGTGGTCTGCATAAAACCAATCCTGATATTGCTGAGAACCAGCAAATGTCCACTGGTGAGACAAGGCCAGCTCAAGCACTTATGCTGAGGGAAACAGCTCAGCTGTAGAGAACTGTTTAGTGTTTGGAGTGACAGCAAATGTTTCTGCTAAGCATGACAAGGCCAAACATATCTTCTTTCTTTTATCTCCTTGCCTTTGATCAGAAGGGTTGCAGGGCTTGCCTGATACCCATTGTGTAAAAATACCTTCTTATATACTCTCTGAATACCTTATTCGCGTACAGGTGCCCATGCAACAATGCAGTAAGAGAAGAAAAGGGAGCAAAGTGAACTGTGGGAAAAGTGAGATTGCTATATTTTTGTAGTGGTACAGTGCAACAGGACTGCCACTTCAGTATTTCAAGTTTACACAAACCACTGTGCACTGTTTCTTTGCATAGAAGTGTTCATACAACTTACCTTCACGGAAGGAGATAAAAACCAGTCTTTCATGAAATTCCTGAACGTTTCGGAAGTTATCAACCATTTCCAGGGGTTCTGGGTCATCACTCTCTGTGCAGTACATGGCTGTTTCCAGTGCCAGTAACTATAAAGGGAAGGACTCTGTTCAGCTCCCAGAATACAGAAAAAGCAATGCCAGTGTATGGTCACTGAGAGTGTGTGTTTGAAATCAAACGGGTAGTTAAAGGGAAGAGGATGCATTAAGTAATGCTTAAGTCTTACATGGCTGGTGAGCCCAAATATAGAATAATGCGTAAACAGCGTGACATCTCCAAACCCATACCTGTATTTTGTTTACATCCTTATAAAATTAATCTTGCTTAGTAATTATCTGCCAGGAAAACTGCATGGGAAGAAATGTGGTGACCCTTTGCAGCATGTTCTTCCTAGCACAGTCTAACTCCTAAGCAGTACTAAAAACTACTTAATGAAAGAACTATCTGCTTTGGTAAAGATATGATCTGGTGAACTGGACAAAGTTAAGAATGGATTTTCATAACAAGAAGCATGCAGTAATTTGAGCAGAGATTTTGATAATAACATTTTTCCCCTGTGTTTATAATTAGGTGAACCAGAAGACAGTGATTGGGAGTTTATAGTCTATGTAAGTGGCCATCTAAGAAAAAAAAAAAGGTAATTAGGTGAGCACAAAAAACGTAGGTTAGAGAAAAGCCAGGGGATTCAAGATTGACAAATAACACATCACATGCTTTTTAGAAACTTAACATCTACCCAACCTATCATTCCTGTGTCAGTCAGGATCAAAGTAGCACTAAAATACTTAGTGAATAGGGTTCGGGCATGAAGCCTGAACAAAATGATCTGGAATTGACTTATGAAGACTCCAAGCAGGGAGTAAATACATAGTGAAAACAGAAATTAATCTCACTTGACCGTGACTTTTCAAGCTGATACTATACCAATTGCTATGCAGTTGTGTCCCCTTTATTTATTCTGGTCAACTGAAAAAGTGCTAACTACAAACAGAATAGGATAATGATTTATGTTGGTTCTGTGCTATTCTTCCAAATTAAAGGATTTTAGCTATGGTCATCTTTCAGTTTTACAGGAACTTAAGAGAAAACCAGGACATGAAAATATGCATTTACTGTTCTTTAGCAGACACCAGTTAGGAAAACACATGCTATATTTAAACTTGCCTGCTCTTGTGAAATTTTAACGGGCTGTCGGAAAACTGTCCAGAGAACACTAGGGTAGCAAGGAGGAGTTGTCAGGGATCCTTCATAGCGATAATACTCATCCAGTCTGTCAGGAAGCAGTTCTCGAATATTGAAACCAGGGACTTGGACTGTCTGATCTAAAATAGGGTATTTGTGTTAAATGCTGTGTCATTACTACACGGGTAATGTACCAATAAAGTGAATTTGCTTTTCAGTAAGTAGGATGCTTTCAGTCGTATCACTAGGAAAAGAAAAATACATTTTAACAGAGACGATCCCAGTTTCATAAAGGATACAGCTTTTTAGGTTTCCTATGTGCAAATCTTGTCTTAGATACCAAATCAGAATTCTGTAAGATAAACTGTGGCCATATTAACGAAAAACCACTATGTGCAAGAAATAAGGCCTAGTCAGAAACACATGGTGCATGCCAGCCATACACTCTTCACAGAAATGCACTGCATTTGTAAGACTTTCACAGTTTGTGACAGGTTTGCCTGGGATTTCTGGACTGTTTCTTCAGCCGGTTCAATCCCTCTCAGGGTGTCATCTGATACTCCTAGCCATTCTCAATCCAGTGCGGGCTTATAGCCACTCACCCTTGTATTTCACATTCCGGAAGTGCCTGAAGATCTTTTCATAGGATGGGTTGAAGGGTCCAATCTGTAATGAGCAGACTATTAACAGCTATGCAGATCACCACGGTCTGAGTATAAGTCTTTGCTTCTGCACACAGCAGACAGCAGTACTTGATGGCCTCTGTCATAAGGTGTCTCCACTGTCCAGATATTCATAGACTAGAATGGCATAAGTACTCTTCTTACTCAAAACATTAACATTATCCTCAATAATGTTAACCCCAATAGTGCTCTTACTCACTCCAGAGCTATTAGAGCTGCTTTGTCATAATGCTGTCTTAACAACTGCAGGGTAGACCTCTTGCGTGCACTTGAAAGACCCTATTGCCCTTGCCTGTTCAGCATGCTGTGTGAATGAAGAGAAACCATTTCCTCTGAGAACACTGCAGGTGTACATTCTCAACTGACAGGCTTCTCAGATCGTCAAAGCTACATTTTTTTCTACCCACAAATATTTTTTAGTCTGCTGCTCCTCACAGTCCAAGAAGATAAAGAATGGCACGATTGGGTACCACAGGGCCACTGGCAAGGGCTATAACTCAACTGTCTGGCAAGGGCTATAACTCAACTATCAAACAAGACCATGTTTTTCAACTGCTACCAACAGCTTTTCAGTCTAATAATCAATGCCTTTTTTATGAATTCTTTAGAGCTGGTGCTTAGCAACTCCTCTGACAACCAGACATAGTTAACTGGTGCCCTTAGATCAACTGTAATAGCCACCAGCTGTCTGAAAGTATTTCAAAGACCTAATCTCCATTGTTGCCTTATTTGATTTTTAAACACCATTGCTTACAAATAACCAGAAGCCCAGTATTATTCCCTAGCATGATATACAATACCCTGACACTTTTCACAGCTGCAACTTCCAAATAAACTGAAATTTAACACAAAATTATTGTCAAAGTCTTAGCACTGTTAGGAACTGAGCTTGGGTAATATTAATGAGAATTAGAGCTTTGTCTGCTAACTAGAACATTTTCACTTTTTTGATGGAAATTTGAAAACCTGAGTGTTTTTAGTTTTTTTAATGCTGCAGAAAATACTCACGTTTAAAAATCATCTTTATAGTTATCTTACTGAGTTTTAATCCTCTAGAAAAAGATTTGTATATGTACAAGCTTGTAAATTTTTTTCTTTCAGATTGTTATTATCTTTAATTGCTTGTATGTGGGGCTTTAGAGGGCAAAATTGGAAAGCTGTACTTTTGCCATCTTAAAAAGAGCACTGAATGTACTTGTTTACTGTAATCTGTGATTCAAAGAATCTGAGAAGTTTGTGACTTGAAGACTGTGGTCAAATCCTAATTACATATAGTGGCCAAAGCCAGGGTTGTGTCTGCCTATGCCTCTCTGCTGTGTTAAAACTGCTTCATGCTACAATAGGCAGTTTTGAGTAAGTGAGCTTCAAATTCACTGTTGTCTGTTGTTTGACAAACTCTACCAATCCCTAGTTTGTAAATGAACGCGAAAATGAATTTAACATAGCTGAAGTTAATTTACTGAAAAACATGAGGAAATACTCAGAATTCCTCTTTTCTTAAAATATGTTCGTGTTTATGTATGTGCTGCTGGAATCTGGCCCTTTTTTGTGAAAGAGAAAAGGAAGAACCTTTATTTAGCCACAGCATTATCAAATAATCTAGGTAATTTTGTATGTTAAAGGTCTCTGATGACTTAATGATTGAAAGCATATTCTAAATAAAAAAAAAAATTGGTCGTGCATCCTACCTCAAGAAGAATAGCCAAAACCGCCAGTCCATCCGCTTTGTCCATTGCTGCTGTTATATCTGGATATTTCTCAGAGTTATAATGTACAATGTGCAGCTACAAAGAAGGAGATACTATGTTATGGTAATGTCTGGGGCATGCTGACATTTCTGTTAGACAGCTAAAAAGAACCAGTGCAGCCATCTCAGGCTAAGAAAATTTCTGGGTGTAGTGGTAAGATCTTTTTCGAGAAAAGCAAAAGGTCCTGGAACTCCCACTCCCAGCCCTGCTGTGGCTGTTACGCCCCCCTCCCCCTACATAATGGGGTTAGAAAGAGGATCCATCACTTCAGCTTCAAGGCATTTTCACTGTAGTACTAGTAAATTTTTCCAAAAAAAGTAGCACCTTAGCACTGTAGGGGCTCTCCGATGTTTAGAATGCAAAATCCAGTGTTTAATGTAATTAGAGAAGAAATGGATTACTAAAATGCTGTTATGCAAGCAAATTACTCCAACTGATTTATCTTTTAATCATTTTGAGGTACATATCCGATCGGTACTGATTTTCAAAATCTATTCCCAAATCCATAATGTAGGATTAGAAAAGATAATAAATAGTTCTTCACCAGACAAAAGAAGGTGAGTAAAGGTAGACAGAGAAGCAATGTTGTGCAGCTAAAAGATATACCTGTTTTACAGAGAAGAACCAAGGTGTCAAATATCTAGTAATTTGCTTGAAATTGCTCAAGTGATCTAGTGCCAGGCTTGAGTTTAGAACCTAAATTCTAACTCCCTAACTTGTGGCATATTCATGAAAGTGTATCAGAGTCCATCCTTTTTGCAGTGCACAATGCATTTTTTTAGTATATACCCAGATCATAAATACTTGGATTAGAATCTTGCTGCCTTTTATAGTCATATATCCAAGATAAAGATCCCACTTTGAAACTTTTGTTTCTTTCCCTGATCTGAACTTGTCTTACCTCTGCTGCAAAATGCTTCCCACTGACTGTGTGCTCTGAGCCTTCTGACTTGTTTCTGTTTCCCCAGTGTAGGTGAAGTTGAGATGCAGTGTATTCAAATGGGAGGTTTCTGATGTACATTGTAGGCGTCAGATGCATTTTCACTGTAAGCAGACCAAAACCAGGTGGGAGCAAATGATATCACAGCTTTCAAGCACAGGGCAAATATAAATACTGTGTCTAAGTATATTACTTATGGAGCATGAAAAAAGCAGGTTCTTAACTCAAATCCATCTCGGTCTGTGGTACAAGATAAAAAGTTTAGTTGTCCTTAACCCTTTCTAGGTAATGCAGGAGAATTTAGAATATACCCTTTTTCTGTTTTCTTAAACTAAAGGAATTGCATGTGAGAATTGTTGTTAATGGACATCTTTCATCTCCCTGAAGAATGCAAAATTGTCTCGGTCTTACTGAAGAGACAGTTATTGACGTGTTGAAGCAAAACTCAGGCTCGTGTGCCTTCTTTCAGTCCCCCTATAGTGGTTGAAAAGGGCTTAATAATTACTATTTCTCGTGGTATTTTTAAACTCTTGTTATATTAAATTCCTCTGCCTCTTAATCTGCTTTTAGGAGCATATGGCAAAACCAAACAAATTTCCCTCTCTCCCTGCTCCCCCCGAAACCCAGAGCATTGATGTCAAGCAGCAAGATAATCAGAGGCCTTAAGAACTAGCATTTCCTCTCTTGACATGGTGGAGGAAGACCTCTGTATGCATTACCCTCCTTTCTGCTCACTAATGCTCTCCAGTGTGGAAAACAGGCTGGGGATTTTTTTTTTTGTGTAGAAATTATAGTAGTAATTCTCAACTCAGAAGAAACTGAATTGTTCACTTGAGAAGTTTGGTACTTCATAAAGGAATGTTTTATGTAAAGAACAGATCGATTTCTTTGCAATTTATTGTTTTCCAATGTGAATACGATATGTTTCTTGAGTGTCCCAGGCATGTTTTGCAGGGGAGACAAGGTTCAAAATCTTAATGAAGGAACAGCTGCAAGCCTATGTATTTTTATGCTAGTGCTAAAAAGCTTTTTTTGAGCTCTACTGTTTTCAGTCTAGCTGAAGTAGGTAACTGTATCTGGATTAGCTGGCTGGTGAAGCACATTAATTATATGTAGGAATGACTGATACCACGATAGTAAGCATTCTGCTCATTTCCTCTCTAGCCGTAAGGGACAGAGCAGCAGATGATGTAATGATCACTTTAACAGAGACTAATTTTTCATTACTCAGAGCAATTAAGGTTTGTATCTGAGTAAGGTTTCTAGAGTGTGTCACATGTCCCCTGCTTTCTAGGAGAGCAGTGACCTTAGAAGTGAATTCCCATTTTTACTGAGGAGGGGATATATTTTTGTCTTTGCTTTCATTAGGAGGTAGTTGAACTTCTTGTTTTAGGGGCAAGATCTGACAATGTTAGTGGTATAGGCTCTACGAGGAATTTGCTTTTACCCGTGTGACTGTTATGTGAGGGACAGGCTCTCAGTGTTGTTCTTTTGTCTCCACCTGCTTTCTCACACCCTTGAAGTCCACAATGACAATGTTTCCTTCTCTGCCTATTGCCTGTCACTTACATGAGCCTAATACATTCAACCGTGACAGTACAATCTTCCACTCAGGACCAAGAAAGGCTCGTAGGAAAAGAAGGTTCACCAGGAAAGGGTGTTCCAGCCATTCCTAGTCTAAAGTAACCTGGTTTTGATGGAGAAATTGATCAAAGGGAAAACCAGGAACCGTGCCCTAAGAGGTTGGCCCTTACTGAAGAATGGGCTTATAATGTTCTAGAGAGCAGGTTTACCCCACTGAAAGAGTGAGGGAAAAAAGCGATGTTTGCATGTTGAGCATCTTTTAACCAAGCATGCCAGAGAAGAGCAGAGGCCGTTTTGTAACACAGGTTCTTTTGATGCTTATGCAATAGAGGAGGAGACAAAGAAGGAGAGCCTTACAACTGTTCTTATTTCTATGTGTTCAAATGTTTCAGGAAGGAACAAAAAATGGTGGGACTAGCTTACCGGTATTGTATATTGTGTCAGTATAGTAGACCTTTATGAGACTGCATCTTGTCTGCTTTTACCTGCTGTACTGACACTTTCATTTAGTACTACAGTGGAAGGCATGTTTGTATGCTATTTCTAATTATTTTTCTGTCTTTTTATCTATCTATCTTATGCTAAAGAGGTTTCTAGCTCAAGTCAAGGGAACAGAATGGTGCTCCTAGCTTTTTTTTTTTCTTTCCCCCCTCTCACACATAATTCATCTGAGCTGCTTTGATTAGACTGGAATGTCAGAGACCCACTGCACCCATATTTTATTAGTTTATCTCTTTTTAACAGAATCACAAAGTCTGTTTCTGTTTTGGAGCACTCCAAGCAAAGTAATAAGAAAAGCTCATGAATTAACTCTGACATGCCTGGAGTTTATTTAAAAACCATAATCAATTTGGCTTACTGCAAATCCATTTGTACTTAGTACATGCCCAAGTTTTCCTAGCCTGTTCTCTAGATGTAGGTATGCTGATGTAAAGGCTTCATCATCACATCTTAATTTAATCTCATAATCAAAGTAGTTCACCCATGAAATAAAAAATCACGAGCTCCAGCAACTCTTTCCTCCACTATCCCTTGCTGTCATTGAGCTCCCTTACCTGAATGACCATTATTGGTCAATGTAAACTGGTCAGTGGAGGGCACATTATAGCCTATGAATTCTAAAGGCAAGAGATTAGAATCATACTGGAGAATATCTTTGTGGAAATCTATTGGTGATTGCAATACTCCTCCACAAAATGGGTATTTCTTCGGCCAGGCCTTCTCTCCGTCAGGACCTGTGTAAATTAACAGAGACACATTTGTCAAGCCTTACCTATGCAATTAATATAAAAACTCCCCTGTTTCAGCCTTCACCCAAAATTTGGAAAAGGGGGCTTTTCAAGACTTTATTTTTTTAAACTTTCATCTTTCCATTGTGCCATTAGATAGAAAAGGGCCAAATGCCAACAAAAGCTCACATAGAGACACTTTACCACCCCTCAATCTTTTGACAGTCTCAGCTGCTGTTAATATTACACTCTTGGGGAACTGGGGGCCTGGTAGCTCACCAGGTTAGGCCTGCAGGCAGCAGCAGCACAGCCAGCCACAGTGCCTCTGAGCATCTCCTGATGCTATTATCTCTCTTCAGAGCCCACAAGTGTGACAAGTAGGGTTTGGATCTGTGATGGTATTTGGATTATTTACTGGCATTAATTACTTTTCCCTATGGAAGTAACAGGCATATGCACAGTAACACAGCTATTCCAGCTTTCTGAAGAGAACTGCTGAAAGAAGTGACTTATGTTGACAGAGGAAAGTTTTCATACTTTTCGGTACACAGAAAGCCAGACCCTTATAAACTTTACCTTGGCATACAAACTGTCTGGCTCTATCTATCAATATTGCATAACCCACAGTGAAAAGCTAACTTGCAAAAATGGAAAGTGTTATGATAATTTGACCTGCAATAACTTGCTCAAACTCTAGTGAAACTTTTCTTCATCACAGTCTTTTGCCCTAGGTAGGATCTACAAAGAATAGATAGTGTCAAGAGATTTTTAATTGTGCCTTTGATTTAATTACACATCAGTAGCTAGCAGCTGTTCACAAGCTGTAAACTGAGACCGTTTGGATTTAAATACGGGAAGAGGTACTTGCAACTTGTGTTTCTCCTTGACTCTGAAGATTCATCGTGATTCTTTCTAAGGCAGGAAGGTCTTTTGGGATCACCCATCCTGATCTGTATAACACAGGCCATTGGACCTCGCTGGATTAATTTCTACTTCAATCAGACTGTATCTTTCAGAAGGGAAAAAACATCTACTCTTCCTTTAGGCACTGCAGGTAAAAAATACTTCATTAATGCCCAGTGGATGATTAATTTGTCAGCTTGCTTTTCACTGTGAGTTTGTCTAGCTTTGACTTTGTTTAGATAGTGATTGCTTTTAATCCTTTGCTTAGAAATTGAAGAGCCTCCTGTTACCACACTTTTATTCCTCATTGAAGTACTTATAACATAGAGGACATAGTTTCTCACTTGTCTTAAACTAAAGAGCCTGAGTTTCTTGAGTCTTTGGTTAGAAGGCTTCTTTTCGAAACCTATGATATTCCTTGTGGCTTCTTTGAAGTCTCTCCAGTATGTTAAGATCTTCCATGAATTGTGAATGCCAGAATCTAATGTTAGATGGGGTCATCAGTGGCAAAGCAAGTTCGGATCTTTTCTAAAGGAAAATTAACAGTCAGGAGAATATTATTAGAGGCTCACTTTTTTATGTGAAAGACAATTTTCAAGAATATGGATAGTGGAGGTGAATCTGACTGAAACATAATGCATGTGATGGGATTGGCAAGTTCAATTCTGGTGCTCAAAGACAGACTTACTTCCTTGTTAAAGCTCTTTAAAATTATTCAAGACATATGTTAGCACATGACATTGTTTGCATTGTGGATACTCAGACTCAATCAGTGCTTTTCAGTATAAATGGGCCTTGATGTTGCAAAGGCCTTAGGTCTTTGACTCCAGTTCACTGCTAAGCACATTAATGTCTCTCCTCTTAGATCTTCATGGTACTATTTTAAAGTCATTGAAATTCTTTTTAAAAGCTAATAAATGTTATGCACACATTATAGAAGACTGTATACTATCCTCTACATGTTTTTTGGCAAATAACAGATCCATCCAGAAGAGCATAAATTCCATAATATGGGATATACAAACTCAGGAATATTTCCCAGGAAAATATGTATCAGGATATACCATGAAACGATAATTTCTTGAGGTTGAAACTTGATGTGCAAGACAATGACACTGAAATTTAACACTTTCCAGGGAGCAAAGACTACAGCAGTGTCAGAAAAATTGGTGAGAAGCCTTTATTGTAATAAAACTTCAGTAATTTTAAAAGGTTTGGAGTTTCTGTGCACTGATAAGATAATGAGTTTGCAAGACAACTTTAATAAATTACATATCATAGGTTTGGAGACTGGATAATTAAATAGGTAATTTTATTTGATGCATAAAATAAAAGTCTAATCCCAGCCAGTGGAAACCATGTCATGAAGTACCACTCACTTTTTCAGTACTAGGTTTGGATGAAATGAATGCCATTAAGAGTTGGCAACAGAGTATGGGAACTTCCACACCAACATCAGCAGTTCAGAAGTGAAACTTTTGTCTTTTCTATAAAATGCTGTAGTTATTGCAGTCTTTATGTCCCTTGATCTTTACTAGCAGTTATCCTTTCCTTGACATAAATCTGCAACTCCACTCAGGCCTCTAAGCTACAGCAGTTTTTCCTTGTTTCTCACTCCTGCTCAATTTAAAAAAAACCCAACCAAACCAAGCAAAATAACCTTTTTTGGTACAAAACCAGTTTTTCTAGAAATTCTGCCTTTTGTCACGTAGTCTTCCTAATTTCAGTGCCTCAAAACTCCTGCCTCAAGAGCTGAGCTCCCTGCAGCTTGGGTTTGCATATGTGAAATTGAGATTTCCATGGTAGATAAACCACACAGCTGGAAAGCATTTCTCACTTAGCTCTGTTGAAAATGAATGATTGATTGTGAATCAGATTTTCCTTTTTCTGTGCCAGCACATTCAGATAAATTCAATGGAAATCACATTGTGTTTACAAAGGCTCTGTCTGATCACTATTCAGTAAAGAATAGCACGTGGATGTATTACGATTGGCCTTTACTAGAAGTCTCAAAAGGTATTAACTTAAGAAGTATTGCAAAAATATCTTAGTAGTTTATTTCCTCCTTTTGTGACAACATTTGTGACAAAGACCCAGGCATCTGAGATGATGTTTCCTGCTATGAGGATCGCCCTGAGAACACATCAGGACTGTGTCAGCAGAGCAATAATTCTGCCATAGGCCTGTCCTACCCACTCAACACTACTATTCAGCTGTTGGAGTGAGCCAATTAAGGTACAGAGCTGTTGGTATGGGTGGAAGTAAGACCCCTTCTGCTACCGCTGCTCCCAGTGCAGCCATGAACACTCTCTACTGTAGGGAGTGCAAACTCAGGTTGCCCAAATCCAGCTTGTGGGCTGCCTTCTCTTACACGAGTTTCCAGGACCATGTTCCCCTACCATGCTGTAAATAACCCTGGACCTGGCTGTGCCCTTGTAGCTCTTTTAGAAAAGATTTCTGTAAATAAAGTAGTAATAATTCTTTGGCTAGTCTTGCTGCCCAGCTACACAGTGAGCTGAGCAAAATATCCTCAGCACCATGGCTGCACGTGTCTGTTGTATCATCTGCTTTGACAACTTTTAGCTTTCCATGCCTAAGCTTTCAGCCAGCCCTGCAGCCCTAGCGCTGCTGGGTGATGCAAGACAGATGTTCCTTTAAGAACAACAGTGATGTCTGCTCCTAGGATGTGTACATTGGCTGATTAAAAAAAAGAAGAAAACAGGCTTATGAGACACCAGTGTTACCAACAGACTTTTGCTCTGATGACTAATTAATATTCATGTTGCTGGAGCTTCTCACGGGGTATCCAAGTTCCTTTGATCTGAAGTAAACTGATGTAGTAAAATGCATTGGGTCAGTAACACAGGGAATGTCTGTGGTATTTTTGCAGCCAGGCAGAGCACTCTGCCCTGTTTTCAGCCAGCTGGAAGCTGTATAGCTGCCGTTAGCCCAGGGCCAAGTTAGTAGCAAAGGCTGCGAGTCCAGGCTCCCTGCCACAGTAAGATGATGGCATGGTGTCCGTTTCACTCAGAGCACAGGCAGAGCTCAGTCTTACCATTCTGTGTACACATATCCAATATGTGTGTATCTTCCACATATGTGTTCAGAGGGAAGTTTGTGAGATAGAGGAGTTGCCAAGGGGTGTAGCTGTCCCTGCTACTCCATTCAAGTGCGGTATGAGAAATTTTGGGCATGTTCTAGTGTGTTCACTAAAGCTGGCATTTTCTGATGGGAAGTGGAGGGGTCTTAGCACAGGTTCTCAGCACCTCGCTGAATTGGAGTATTTGGCAACAGTAAAACAAAGAGTTTGCAAATTCAATTAGCCTGATGTCTGCTAACAACAGTTCTTGTGTCTACATTGTACCGTGAAGTTGTCTCCTCACATGCTAAAGCACATTAATAATTCCGTTGGCAATATTGCTTTAAACTTGGCTGTAAAGATAGTTTTCTCTATTGTAGCTGCTTGTCCACTCTCAAGGGTTCTTTTATTTTATTCCAGCTCTCTTATATTATAGAGCAGAAAGCCAGAATCCAAAGAACTGAAGCCCAGCTCTCCAATTCTACCAGTTCTCATCTGGGGCAGAGGACTTCAGGCGTGCACCTTCTAGCCACACAGCAACATTGCCAAAAGCTGCATGCATGTGCTGTCCTGAGCTATGGGGCATCAGAACAATTCTTTTAGTTCTTTTGCTGAAAATGCTTTTCTCATGATACACTTCATCTACATTGTCCATTTTCCAGAAGGTGAAGCAATGCAGCAGAGGACACAAAGCAAGCCTGTGTCAGAGAGGGCTGAGGGCTCATGCCTCTGCTGACTGGCCTGTGCTGTTTCTTCCAAGCACTTTTTCTTCGGCTATATACAAGAGTAGTGAAATCAGGAAGAACAAATAGCATCGCTGCAGTTTGGCTAAGAAAGAGGCAAACAGAGGAGAGGTTTAGCCTTTATATTTATTGTATCTAATGTAGTAGTTTCCATTACAGCCAAGCCAAATGCTCATTTCTTTGGAAAGCTTGCACTGAAAAGATAAGGCCTGATCACATGCAGTGTCATCTTGCTTCACCACAATGCCCTGAGCTGCTAACGCTATATCAACATGCAGTTTTATACATTGTCCTACTGAACAAATAGAATTCTCATTGAGAATCAGCAAGTGATTTCTCCTCCACCCTTAATCTTGTACCTTGACCCTCATCTTGACATCAGTCTATACTGTGATTATAATGGCTTGACTTCCTTTCCCTTCCTGTTGATTTAATTTTAGTGGGAGGCATTGTAAAGTGTTGCAGGGATAAAGGTAAATGGTGGAAGGTGTAGGCTGCTGTAAGGAACCAGGGTCAGTAGGAGAGTAGAGAGGCTCTTTTCTGTCTGACTGCCGTCTCTCTAATCACTGTTTTTTTCTGTGTAGACCAATGTTCTAACTCTGCTCTTTTCCAGGTATATGAAAAGAACTATTCTGTACAAATTTGGTTGCCACTTTAATTTTTTGAAGTTGCTTTTATATGTTTTTCTAGATATATTTGAAAATCAGTAGTTGGAGAAAAAAAAATGGTTTTTGTGAACCTTCCCTCTATCTCCCAGTACATGTTAGAAATCAAACTGCAGTCTGGAAGCGCTTAATAGGAACTGATGAAGTTGGGCCCTGAAAATAACATACTCTGAAATAAATGCTTGTGCCCAAATTCCCAGAAAGGGAGAAGTAACTAATTTAAACAAGCATTACCCTGGGAAGATGGGCAAAACTTCTACTTTGATGGTAGTAAAAGAAGTCTTGCTTTCCTTACTAGCTAGCAGGGTTAGGTTCATCTGATGGCTGCTGTCAAGGTGGAAAACCCAAGCTTTTGTTATTCAAACTGTGTCAAGCGCTTTTTTTTTTTTTCCCTAATGAGAATGTGAAGTATAGGTATGCATACTGGCAGTTAGATTAATACCTATAGACACACAGCTGACAGTTTTCCTTTTGCTTATGTGAAGTAAGTCAGGTAAACTGGAGCACAGACAAAGGGAGTAGTCAGTAGCAGCAAGTTCAGTCTCAAGAGGTTCTTTATGTTGTCTTGGAGCAGCACCAAAGGCTTAAGAACAAGTATTTTTTGCTGAGATTCTCAGTACTGCCTACTTCTCTGTGGGCATATGGCATATAAAACAGTACTCTGAATGAAGAAATAACTGGCCAGAGGATTTGATCAATTAAAAGAAAATATCTAGGTAATTATTCTTCCTGAGCAGCCATCAGAACCTTCTGGATTAGTAGCTGACTTAAAGGACTAGTGTACAAAATAACACTGCTTTCCTGAATATGATTTATTCAACCTTGTCAGTGCTGGGATTTTCAGGGAGCTGAGTCTCCAGTAACACGATACAGGTGACTTGCTGAACTGTGACTGTGCTTAAAAACAAAGACCAGCGTGGGTAGGGAGAGGTATGCTCTTTGCAGATCTAGGCTGAAATGTGCTGCTTGTCTGTGACTGGTGGGGAAACAGAGGGCTTTGGGGAATCTCTGCAGTTGTAGGGCCAATCAGTTTGCTGAAGTTGCTGTCATTCTGCGAGGCAATTTAGAACCCAGTAACTGACTCTCGGTCACCCAGATATGAAACCTGACGGATGGATAACAGATTTCAAGACAATGGGCCAGATCCAAGCCTGGGTAAAGAGAGTCAACCCAGTAGGTTCTCACCAGAATACATTTGGTATGTTGTCCTTAAAATACAGAACAAAGCCACAACTTACTATGAACAAATTAGTTAGTACTTACCAATGTAGGACCATTTTGACCCTGTTTAAAGACAAAGGAAATATTACTGTGAAAATTTGAAATTGATCTTACTCCATAAAGAAACAAATTGACACTTAAACCCATGTACTGAATTTTGCAATACTTTTATCTGTCTTTCTAGCCCCAGATGTTGAGCAAAACATAGACGCTTTCAAGGATTACGAACCCTTCTCACCCAAAATATAATTATCCCTGTGATCCTACCCATAGGAGTGACGTTCTTGTGGTCACTTAAATCCTGGAGCAAAACTTTTGTCTTTTTTTTTTTTTTTGTGGAATAGCCACAGACTGTATATGTAGGTACATCCCTGATTTTTTTCTGGTTAGGAAACTAAGGAATATAAATGAGGTGTAGCTATAATGAACCCCATCACGCCTAGTTGAGGAGTTTGAAAAACATCAGTGAATTCCCAGTTGCTGAGAAGTGATGGACAGTCATTTCTCTACAGCAGCTCTGGGATTTGCCAACTGAAACAGATAGGAATAGATGGACTTTGAAAAAAGGGAGTATGATACACGAACCCATATAACTCAGAGAATCCTAGGGGGTTGAATGAGTGTTAAAATGATCGATATTCATCCATTGCTTAAAAACTGAACTTGGGACAGTGTCTCTGCATGTCTTTGGAAATGTCTCTTTAATTTTTTTTTTCTGGTCCTGAAACTTACTTACAGTCATTCAGCTTGCTGTGTAATTACAGGTGCTTGTCCTGACAGACCCGAACAGTTTTAGTTATCAGGCTAAGGCAGATCTTTACTTTCTGGAAATTTAATTTTATTTCTGCTTAGAAAACAGTCCTGAATTACGAATCTTGCAAACACTCTGTGCCTGTGTGTGCGTGCATACATGCAGGCAAATATTTATCCTTACATGCACATGTCTGCTGTACATGATTCTTGGCAGCATTTCATGTACTCTGAAGCGTGGTTACAGATACAGCTATTCTCCAAAGAATGTCATGTGAAATGTTTGGGATTAATTTGTAGAGATGTGCAAAACAGCTGCTCTTAGCTCTTTGGTATTGATATGTGCTGGGAACACTAAGCTCTCTGCTTCCAGTTGGTTAGGACCAGTGGGCCTTGTTCTTTTGCACTGGAATTTTCAAAACAAGGTCTGTGTAATCATCCTGGCTGAAGTCCCTAGATTCCTTGCGTAGAAGAATTCATGCGCTGTCTTAGATTTCAAGATGAGGAACCTCATTCTCCTCTCCCCTTCTCTCTGCAGGGGATTATCTCTTACTGAGTTTTTTTGGGGGTGCTTGTGTCTTCTAGGCAACATGTTCAGTAGGTAAAACTTGCAGGAACATAGCAACTGACTGTCAACAGGTTTTAGAAATTGCCACATCCTCATCTGAGCAGGGTTTGAAGAAGTATTGGCTTAACTACAATAGCTACTCTCCGCTCATACTCTTACTGCCCATTAAAATGTATATGAAGTGTCAAAACTATTATTTTTATAATCTGGAACAGCCTTAAAACAGTCAATTTCAAAGATTTTCAATATTTTGGGCGTGTATGCCAATTGAAACAAAAATAAATGAAAACTTGAAGTCTTTTGCCAAGTGAAATTTTCCTTAGACTGCGAGCATTTTGATGATCTGCGATTCACTACCATTATGACTTTACTGATGAGCACAATAATAGTAACTAGTGTAGGATAGGGCTGAGGCACATTTAATGCTAATTTCATCTAACTTAGATCAAGAGATGAATAGATAACCAGATGGCAGAATCTTCTTGATTTTGTCTGAATGGACATGTGGACCTGCCATCCTCAGACTGTGAGCAAGGTTGCTATTGCCCTTATTCTGCTTGATAATGAAGTAAGGATGAGGCAGACTGTCACACAGTCTCCCAAAATTGGAGGAGAGTCTATAAAGTGTCTGATTCACATCTAGAAGGGAACTATCAACAGCTCCATACCTGTGAGCACTCTCCTGCCTCTTTGTTCATGTTGGGGTGAGTGCTGGTGGGTAACACAGTTACACACCCATGCATGGCAGAGGAGGTTCCTAGAGCCAGTGTATTTGTGTGTCACTGATCAACATCCAGGGAACAAATATGTTTCCAGTGTCACTTGGGAGCTGGGAAAGTGGGAATGGTTTTAGGCGTGATAATCTACGTTAGTAGATATCCCTCTGACTTGGGAAGATGTCAGAGACAGGCAGATGCTGTAGCTCTTCCCATTTCTTGGTACTGGGTGTCTAATTCTAAGATAGGAATTCTCCAGCATTCCCTTCAGGATGTATCTTAAGACATATCTTTTTGACACATCCTTTCACTGCCAAACCTTCTGTGTTGTCAGAGAAAGCACGTGGAAAGCACCAAGCTTTATTCTGTTATTCTGGAAAGCACCAAGCTCTAGGAACCTCTGCCCTTCAGGCGGGAGATTCTGCTAGAGAATATAGCCATTTTTCAGAGGATATATGCCCAAAATAAGAAGGTGACTTTAAAAGTTTGAATTCCACCCCTTATGTAGCTCATTCGAAAAACCCAGTAAAATGCTTGTCTTGGCAGAGCTCCGTATGAAACTGATGGCTCTGGATTACACTTGAGCCTTCAGGATTTTCGTCTCATGAATAGATGTGCCACCTAAGTCCTCTCACACAACCTGTTACAATGATTCTCCCTCATATCCTATAATCACACTAGCATTATAATTATCTTGAATGGATGAAAATTGATTATCATTAGCTTGAATAGATGAACATTAACTCCTAAAAAGCGAGTGAGGAGCACTGACCTTCTGCAACTGGTCTTGTTTAAATATAAGAGAATGAGATCTAGTATATGGGGCACTTCACAGGGATTGCATTCTTTTCCTCTGGTTTAAAAATAAACAGGGCAGAGGGAAAGGTGTGATACTTCCACTAACTCTGAGAAGGGCCAGTCTCTGCTTCATTCTATGAGGAACAAAAAGATCACAAGCATACTGAGCATGCAAGAAATCTGTAATGCAAACTAAATCAGAAGACAAATTTATTTTTCCTGTATTATGTCAGAATACCTATTCTAAGAAATTGAAATAAGGATACTAGCTCCAAACAACTACAGACTGCAACAATATACAACTTTGAACATGCTATTGAAATAGTAATACTTAAAAGATGCCAGTTTTCTACATACATTAGCTGCCCTAAGTTACAAGTGACAATAAAATAGAAAGCTGAAGGACTTTACCATTCAACGGCGCTTGCATTGAGAGTGGTATCTTTAGGAAGAAAATAAGCACAGTAGTGACTGCTATACTGAAGCTCTTGGCTGACATCTCAAGGAAAGACTTAGAATACTCCGACAGTTTACAGGTTTCTCTGCACTCTGAAGAAACTTCCTTGTAGATGTGTGGCAAGTAGCAGAATGGACACATACAGAGCTTCTGCTAATGAGTTATTGCCCTTCTCTCCCCTTGTCTCTCTCCTTCCTTTTAGGACTGCTTTTTATAAAGCTCCTGAGACTCAACCCAAAACAAATGATGTAATCAGACCTGCCTCTAGGTCACAGCACCCTCAGAAAACTGATCATCCTTCATTACCTCAGTTTTAGTGAGCTCCTCACAGGGCAGACTCCAGCATTTAGGGAATTTAAATGTGGAACGTCAGTAATTATTTAGCTGAGACACAAATGCTTAAAAAAGCTGTCCTCTTATGGGCCATACCACAGTAGAGTTTTTCTAGCCTATTTCAAAGTGTCTTCCTCAACTCCCATTTTTGGATCAGTGTGATTTAGCATAATGGGCCACTGTGAGGACTGGAGGGAGGGGAAGAGAAGTGAGGCTGTGTGTGGGACTGTTAATAACTCAGAGGGACCATGGACACTTCCCACGAAAACCATCCAACTTGTCAGGAAGGGATTTTTTTTTAAGCTGAAAACTCTTGGAACCGGGAGGACACACGAAGCAGGGAGGAGTGAAAATTAATGAAGAAGCAGCCCCAGAGTCTAGTGTTATGTTCAGGATATGTATGGAGATGGGTAAAGGGGAGCACAGGGTATAAGTTAATGTCCTCTTCTGAAGGTGATTGAGGAATAACCTCTTAAACAGAGTGCACTATGGACAGCTGAGGAGCGGAAGGTGGGATTGGAGGGGCTATTGGTTTTAGTTGAGTACATTATTATTTATAATTAACTGCTTACTACATCTCATTAACAGCTTTGTAGCGTGTATTAGTTTTGATTGGCCAAGCTTTATTTTCAGCATCTTTATTTACCAACTACTGTTTAATTGCTCAATATTATTAGACTCGCTTATTTTTTCCTACTGTAATTTATGAGGCTGATAAAGGAAAATGAAAGTTGAGTGGAGCATGGTTCCCTTCTGTCTAGATCCCAGGTAGGGACCTGCTGTAGAGCATGTCTCTGGCCTATTGCTCCTGTTCATCTGTGGCCCTATACTCCCAAGCTAGGCAGAGGCAGGCCGCAGAGAGCAGCAGCAACTAATTAATGTCTTGTAGCCTTTTAGAAAGCAGCTGTGGTTGAGTACAGTTGCTCTCTCATACTTCCCCTTAGTATTTTGTAAACCTAGGTTGTAATTCTGCTTGTTTTGGTTCAGCCAGATGTAATCTAGAGGGAGAAGGCATGAGCTATAGTGATAATGTTTTAAACATGTTTTTTAAGCACTGTTTTCCAAAAAAGAGGAATGCTGTCTACCAAGTCTGTACAGAGGGGTATGCTGAGTGTGTTGAAGCATGTGGGCTATCAATACATAGTTGTTTGCTGCATGCAGGACCTTCCCTAGCCTACCAGAAGTTTGGACGTATAATTTTAGAGATTTCTGTAGAAGAAATTATTTTGTCATCAGTCTTCACATAACTGGCAACCTATCTGACAAGCTGCTAAGGCTGGTATCAATAGCAGTTGAAAATTACCTCCTCTACAAAAAGACTCGGTTGTGTAGGAAGGTGTGGACTGAGCTGTCTGCCAAACTGTGTTTTCATATCTCCTTCCTTCCTCTTTTCTGCCAGTGTTTTTGAAGAGTTCACCATGCTGAAGTATGCTGTGATTCTTAGAATCTCCCTCAGCTCCTTTCCTCATTTTCACAATCTACACGTCTCCTTCCTCAGTTTCTGCTATAGTTTAGCTTCACATCCTCAGGAGGAATTCCAGGCAGTGCTTGTGCTTTCAAGGCTATCTGGATAGAAAGCTCTTTGCTTGCAAAATACAAGCCACAGAAAAAGGAAAAAAAAAAGCCCTCAGCACAGTTACCTGCCTGTATTCTGCACAAACCACACAAGCTTGCCATTTTATTCTCTCTTGAAGAAATTTTAGGTTGCTAGCTGTTGGTTTTCATCTCAGCATCAGTCCAAGGCAGAGACTGAGCAGGGTTTTCATAGATTGGTGGGGCTCATGAGAAGTAGTAGATTTGGATCCTGACTATGAAAGATCACATTGAAATTTTGTGGGTTTATTGATCTTTAACTTGCACTGTCTCCTAGCTTCAGTGGTGTTTGTCAAGGCAGTAGTAACATATAGTCTAACATGATAGTCATCCTGGCAAGTGCATGGGACAAGTTTAAGGCAACTCATTATGCTGAAAAATGTCTTCCATGAATGTGGGTGTTTGCCATATTAAAATATATGTTTACAATGCAGTATGCAATAAGTAGAGCTAAGGAGAGGGAGGATAAAAGATGATGGGGATAATGGAGAAAAAACCAATACACAACTACCCAGCAGGACCATGGGCTTCAGAGGAGACTCAGCATTGCTATGAGATTCCCTGCAAAAGTGCAGTTATGGTATAATATAAGATGATCCTACATCCTGTTTCTTCCTAGTTGTGATTTCCCATTTTAAAGCTGGGGCAAAGGAATGCAAGGGTTGAATGACAAGTTGCCTGATGTCCCAATGTTGAAGAAAAATGGAGCTTACAGTCCCCAGAGTTTGAGGCCCTGCCCCAGTTAGCAGGCAGCACTCCCCACCTGGTGCAATTAAGTATCATGAATCCATTGTAAAAGCAGGATCAAGGGCAGGGTGCTATCTGACCTGAATATAGATTTGCTTAGCAGCTCCATTATTTCTGTTCCTCAGTTTTTCTACCTTGTTTTTCTCTAGAGCAGTTCATTGCAAAAATATCAGTTCTGCTGGTCTTAGCTGAGAAGGTGGTGGAGCTTGGCTGGCTTATGCTAAAAGAGTTCCCTGTAGCAATGGCACCAAAATATTATCACCAGCCCAACTGTGATCTAGCTAACCAGGAGTTTGCAGTGCAGGCTGATTTTCTCCAAATTACACTGAAACTTTGGCTTTAATGGCACCTCTACATGACAAACACAATGAAGTATTAAATACTACCTCAGTCGCACAGTGTATGAACAGAACTGCTTTAAAAACAGGTAATTCCCTCTATTGAGGTATATTTCAAGGGGCAGAAGATACACCGTTACCAGCACAGTTATTTTCAGTCAAATACTTCTGTACCAATTTTTCCTCCCAATCTCTCTGTGTACAATTGGGAACAGAAAAAAAGGTGAGACATTTCTTCCCAGGGCATAGTGCTGTAGAAATTAGACAGTGATAAGGTAAATGGCCATTAGGTAAGGAAAAATAGAGAAGAACACACTTGCCATGGAGATATTTATGATTAGACTCCGGCAGTGCCATAACCAAGTCCATAACCAATTCAGCTCTCTATTACATCTGTTCAAGAGCTATGGGTTTCTCCTATGCCTCAGGGCATATGAAGTGATCTTACTGCAGGCCATCTTCCTGAGTAACTTTGATTAGCAAAATACAAATTTAGTTTGAAAATTTACTCTTCTGTGTTTTCCATGATACATCTGAACATGTACTATCCTTCAGGAGACATACGTGAGCTCTATTGAATGTAATACATTGAGACTGCTATGACCACCAGCCAAGACTATTACTGCTGCTTTCTGCAGCACTCAGGCTTAAGTATGCTAAAAAGAGCAGCTCCTTGCGCATGTTTGTGTTTTCGGTATGGTAGCAGTTGCAGTGGACACACAGGCTGAGTATTGCAAGTAGATGGACATGGATAAACATCTTCATCTGTCAATATCCTTGTTCGGAAAATGGCTATGCACATTTAATCGGCTAGCACACATTCTGCTGTTCATCAGCAAAGGAAATTTTGGACTATCTCGCTTACCTTTGAGTCCTGCTAATCTGATTACAAAAGCAAAGACCTCTGGGCTCCCCACTGCTTCTCTCCTCAAAATCAGCTATTTGTCCATTTTGTCCAACACATAATGCACCACATGCAGAACAAACTCCAAACTCCAAGTATGGATTGACAGGCAAAACAATGACAGCTGTCTCCCATATTGGGAAACTACTGCCTATTAGCTCATGTTTTCTAATTTGTCCTTCATTTTTGGATTAATAAATACTCTGTATTTTTTGTTCCAAGAATTACTTGATCATGGCAATGCCCTTTACTGTGATCACAGTAGGTATGAGAATGAGACACAGGAAAAAGAAATGAAAAATGTAGATAACAAGTGATGCTGTCACCATTTGCAATAAGTCAATAGACCTTTAATGACTACACAATATACGAAATAGGTTGTGTAGGTCTTTTTATGAAAGTTGTTCATATTATAAATGAGCCAGATTAGCCATTTTTCCAAACTATATGGAAAAAGTTAAATTAGCTCTGGAGTTGAGATTCAAGGCTGCCAGGAATAGCTGTATTTCTGCCGTGCAAATTGCTGAATTTATTTACTAAATCAAACTCTGCCATTGTCAAACAGACACATTTTACAATGGTGGACTCAGAGGAAATTAAGCCGATGTACTTCCAGCAATTCCAGATTGCAAGAAATTAGAAATACTCCCTGTATGCTTATGATTGCTTTGGCCTTGCTTGCAAAGTTTTGACAGCATCATCCAACATATGCTCAGACAAAATTTCTTTTAGCTTTTTTTCTGTCTTCACTGTGCTTTGCCCAATTATGTTTTTCCCATGGAATAAATGTTGTACAGACATTACTGTATATACACCATATACCTTGTTATATCTTGTGGATTTTTTTTTCCAAATTAATTCCTAAAGTGCTTCCCATGCTAGAGCATGGGAAAGGGTCATAGCATCCCAGTTATACAGGAATCAAATGAAGAGTCATCTATTCTAGCATGATATGGGAATGTGGGCTTTCAGCTGTTCTTCAAGGAGTGTCAACACATGAGATGATAAGCAGGTATACGAGGGTTAACTTTTAGTGCGTATTAGAGCTCTCTGCAAAGTTAATGGGAATGTTTTTTGCTTATCTTATTGCAAGTGCTTTAGCCTGGATGCTGATCCAGGCTGAATAT